TCTTTCCCGACCTCCCTCTATTGTGACAACCACAGTGCTATTCAAATTGCACATGACATTGTCTTTCATAAGCGAACCAAGCACATTGAGATTGATTGTCACTTTGTTCGTCAGCATCTGCAGTCTGGCTCTATCTCGCTTCCTTTCGGCTCTTCGGCTCTGCAGCTTGTTGACTTCTTTACCAAGACTCACACCATTGCTCGGTTTCAATCTCTTCTTGGTAAACTCTCAGTGTTTTCTGCCCAAACACCTTCAGTTTGAGCGGGGGTGTGAGAATAATATTAGTATATATTTTATGTGAATATTGTTTCCTATTTAGGATTGGTTTAGATTTATTGTTATTGTTTCTTATTTAGGATTGGTTTAAGTTTATTCTTGTTTCCTATTTAGGATTAGTGTTCTATATTTATTAGAATTCTATATCAGTGATGTATTCGTTTAGGATTATGATTTAGTGTTCTATATAAGTGATGTATTCTTTGTTCAGTAAATATAATTGAATATACAGAAATTCTTCAGAATTCTTACAGTACGAGCCAAAAGAAGCGTGAAGGTGAGGAGAAGCTAAACGAGCGGAAACTTTATGTGAAGTGTCTATGGTGTGTCCATACCCAAAATATATAAATTGTATAAGTGTCTAATGTGACTTAACATCTACTCGTGAGACATACAATACAAATGTAACAAGAAGATGAATTACTATACTCTGCAATATAGCATATGAAGTGACAATCCATAAATTGGAGAATGGATTCCTGCTAAAGAAGAAAAATTATCAAAAAGAGGAGTTATTACAGAAAAAGAAGTGTCATTTTAAAACATGAAGAAAGATGTCATTGTTATTATGCTAAATGGCTCCTTTGTGCACAAAAGAAAACATTTCAAGTTCATGAAAAAAGAAAATCAATTAAATATCATGCAAGTGAAAGTGTGATATACCTGATGGGTTTGTGCATATATTTGAGTGGTTGTTACATGTGATGATCATTTACATTTGAATTATTTGGGTTTTACATGTATTAAAAAAAAAGTTCATCTTGAATGGATGTGGGAGATAAAAGGCTAGCTGTAAACTATACCAGTTAGAAGGCTGTAAAGCTATGATTCTCATAATTATGCTTATTGTTGACCATGGTTGCATTGTGGATGGTAGGAGTATGGAGCTCATGTCATTTCCACTGTTCCTACTGTGCCATATATTTTTGAGTATTCGGATGGAAGGTATGTCACGTGTTGTGTTGTTGTCTCTTAATGTTTGGACTACCACATGGTTTACGAAGCAATATATGTTGATGCCTTGATTAGCAAAGTACAAGTTCAAAATCCGGCTGCATTGCTCTCAAATCCCAAAAAACGGGTGACTGCTACCTGGGAACCGACTGTAATAGCTACAATTATTATTCCTAGTGAGTAAGCTCTCATACACCCTTTACATGTTACCCAATTGTCCTTTTTCTGTTTGCAAAGAATTTATTCATCCTTCATCTGTTTGTACTTGAAGGTATGTGGGACCCGTTATTACCCTTTGTGCTGAGCGGAGAGGGGAGCAGTTGGAGCACACATTTATAGATAGGTAACTTCTGGACCAAAAAAGTTGATATTTTCCCTTACAATGGCTATTATGTTTGCTGGTTTTCCTTAACTGTCCCATTGCAATGAATAAAATACTGCAATGCATAGGACAAATAATGGTTTTAAAATTTTATATCTATCGCTGGACCTTGTAATGAATTGTGTTTAAGTTTTGGGAAAATCAAGTAATTTGGATGTTGAACAGAAACGTGGAATCCTGACCACTCCTTGCCTTGTGAATTTTTTTTTTTGGTGGTAATTAACTATCAAGACTTATGTATGCTTACCCTTCTATAAAATGAATGGTTATTAAAATATTGATTTTTTGAGTTTTTACATGCAGTCAACGTGCCTTCATGAAGTATCGTTTGCCTTTGAGGGAAATTGTTGTTGACTTCTATAATGAATTGAAAAGTATAACATCAGGGTATGCATCATTTGACTATGAGGATGCAGAGTAAGTTTGTGTACTCTATCTCTCTGTTGCGTACACACATGCACAAACACATACAAGTGAAACAATGATTGCTTGTGCATCTGCATATGAAATTTAGGGGTTACTCAAAAGAAGTCTTGCCCTAATGGGTGCTTCGCAAGGGCATCTCCAATCCTTGATTCAAACCTACGTTGAATTTAAATTTGATTGAAAATCGCTCAAAACACCATCCACTCCTTGACCCAAATTTATACCAAATTGAGTTTTACTATTTTTCCCAAATCAAGGTAGACTCAAACGTTTATTCGAAATTTTGAAGGCTATTTTATGGCTCTGTTTCTTTTTTACACAAATTGCTATAGCTGAATTCCCCTCTTTGATATATGGGAAAAGGTGATTTTAGCTTTGTTTGTATTGTTTCTCGATGGATGGTTTAACAGATATCAGGCCTCTGATTTAGTGAAACTGGATCTTCTCTTGAATGGGCAACCAGTTGATGCAATGGCAACCATTGTTCATAATTTGAAGGCGCAACGTGTTGGTCGCGAACTTGTGGAGAAGCTTAAGAAATTCATAGACAGGTTTACTGATTCGTAGTTAATTCGGAGTCTTCCCCTATATTTGCTTCTTGTTTCAGTAGTATGTCTTAAATTTCTGACTTCAACAGGCAAATGTTTGAGATAACAATACAAGCTGCTATTGGATCGAAGATCGTTGCTAGGGAGACGTAAGTCATAAATTTGCCTTTCCCTTTGCTGGATAATTTTCACAAATTGATTATGTTAATTTTTAGCCTACCTTTGCTTGTCTCAGGATTTCAGCGATGAGGAAGAATGTTCTGGCAAAGTGTTATGGAGGAGATGTGACTCGAAAGAGGAAGTTGTTAGAAAAACAGAAGGAAGGAAAGAAACGAATGAAGCGTGTTGGCTCTGTTGATATACCTCAGGAGGCTTTTCATGAACTATTGAAGGTTTCATAGAGTGGGTTTGACAACGAGTCGGCTATGTTTGTAACCAATAACAGTTTTTCTATTTTTTCTATAAAATGTCCATTGCTTTTGTATTATTTAAATGCCAGGAATGTTTTTTTGTAGTGTCTTGATGATCGTTTGGTGAAATTTGATATTTGAAATAAAAAGAAAAAAAAAAAAAAGATTGGTTCCTTCTAATCAGGATCAGATAGCCTTGCTTGTTATTTGGTTTCAATCCCCTAACCCTCCGTCGTCGCCCCTTAACGCCCTTTCGCTTGTTCCCTCATATTCTTCTTTATTTTTGTTCTTTTTCTTTTTCTTCTAGATATGAAAAGTTTAGATCGGGAATTGTGGTAGTAGGGCTCACCTCGTTCTTCTACATCCGAAAACACCGTTTGGGAAGAACTAAAGTAGATTTTTTTGGTTATTTTAGTCACAAAAGATAAAATATATTATTTTAGTCACAAAAAATAAAATATCATATCCAATTCATAATTATTACATTCTTCTCTTACAAAAAAAATCAAAAAAGTTAAAAAGTCAAAAAATCCTTCCCAAATCTTAAATATTCTCAGTACATTAATGACATATCATATTATAAACAAAATATGACAATTTAATAATATAATCAATACAATTACTATTTAGTATGTTTGGTTTTAGTTTTTTGAGTTTAGTTTTCTAAAAATTGAGTTTTTTTATTTTTTGTGTTTTTTTTTTGTTTTTAGTGAATATTTTTAAAATTTTAAGTAATTTTTTTTATTTTTTTTAGATGTACTTTACTTAGATGTATCTAAATAATAAAATATTTGTAAAAAAATATTTTAAAAAATTGAATTTTTGTATTTTTGTTTTTGTTTTTTTTTTGTATTTTTAATATTTAGTGAATTTTTTAAAGATTTTTTTTTAAAAATATTATATTTTTAAAGTGTATTTATGTCTAAAAATTTAAAAAATACTTAAAATAATAAAAAAATATAAAAAATAAAAAAGTAAGGCTGTATTTGGAACGATTTCCAAATGTTGATTTTACCCCCACGTTCCAATATGATGTTTAGATAGAGTTTTGGAACTAATTTTTCACAACTCTGTAGAAAACTCTGTATGTGAGCGCGAATTTAAATTTTTTTTTTAAATTTGGCCTAACCGGACGTCCCATCGGTCGTCCGGTCGGTTGACCGGAACAGTGCAATTTTTTTTTTTGTTGCAATTGACATATTTTAATTTTTATATATTCGAAAAAAATATTTTTCGAATTTTAAAAAAAAAATTATTTGTTTTAATAGAATTTTGAGTTGTATGTTTAGTTATGAGTTATAGGTTTTTGTATCAAATATTAAATGTCACATCAAAAATTTCCCACTTAATTCAAAATTCTTTTCAAAACTCTTTCACCAAATAAATTTTTCACACTCAAATCATAATTCTAAAACTCACAAACTCAAAATACAACTCCTATTCTCAAATCATAGTTAAAAAATTCTACCAAATGCAATTTAAAATTTTCTAAAAATCAAAATTAAGCAAAGTGATTGTTGTTGATGTGTCCATTGTTTGTCGTGTTAGTACCACCTTTATGTATATAGGGCCAGTTACAGTTGAATGGCCAAGCTGAAAACGAGAACAAGGTGATGCAAACAAACAAGAAAAAATTCGTCCTTTTTCCTAATTCCACTATATTTGGTTGAAGAATTTAGAAAGAGATTTAAAAATAGAAAGAAAAAATGTGTGTGAAATTAAGTGAAATATAGATATATTTTATTCACATTTTACTTATCTTTTTTATTTTCTTTTCTAAATTTCTCATCAAATCTCTCAACCAAACACAATATTAAAGTAACTAAATGACATTTTAAAAAGCTACTACAAACAGTCCATAACTCTCCAACCAACTCTTTGTCGTGACCCAATCCCCCTACTTTCATAGTCTGTACATTACTATCACCACAAACACTATAAATAGCCTCTGAACTCCCACACCCTCCCCCCAATTCCATTAAACATACAACGCAAGAAAAAAACATGAAGGGAGTAGCTATCACATTGGTGGTGGTGGTGGTGCTAGCGACGGTACAGTTGATGGCAAAGCCGAGCAATGCTGCCATCAACTGTAGCCAAGTTGAGGGTGCACTTTCACCGTGCATCCAGTACCTGACCCAAGGTGGAACTCCATCGGACACATGCTGTTCCGGGGTTAGAAATTTGCAATCTGAGGCGCAGACCAAGGAGGACAGGCAGGCAGCGTGTAGCTGCATGAAGACCGCAGCTGCAAGCTTCCAAATAAGGGATGACGCGGCTGCTGAACTCCCTCAAAAATGTGAAGTTCAAATCAATATCCCTATCTCTCGCAACACTGACTGTACCTCGTAAGCTTTTTTATACATGCACAAGAACATAAAATTTACCATATATGAAGTTGAAAATTTTGCATTAAACTTGAGAATTTGTATAGTTTGCCGATGTATATATATATATTTCGTGCAGGGTTGATTAAGGTGGATGACACAAGAGCCTGGAATAAAGTTGGGATGCTTTGGTTAAAGCTACCTCCTTGAACTTTAGTAGTTTACCCAACAAAAAATAAAATAAAATAAAATAGAGAGAATGAGAGAAGTAAAGAAAAGAAAAGAAAAAAAAAAAGTATGCTATTGGTGAGGTAGGAACTCTGCTGTTGTACAAATACTAATACCGATGTTGGCTAAACTTATGGAGTGGGGTATGTGGGTTTCAGTATCATGTTTAATAAAAGTAAAGGATGGGATGATCGATCTCTCTCTCTCTCAATCAAGGGTTTTGTTAAAATATTTATATATTTTTTAATGCATCTACTTTCTTACAGTATGTATAATATTTTTAAGTTTCTTAACATGCGTTTTAATATCGTGATAAAAATGAAATATTAAATAAGTTTTAGTACATAAATGTAGTCATTACAAGGTAATTACTGAATTTACACTATAAGAGTCGGTGCAAATATTTTGAGACTCGAAGTTTATAATCAAGCACACACATAACTGAACAAGTGGAAATAAATAAATATAATTAGTGTTTGTGGTCGTGTGCTACGAAGAAAGTGCCTTAATTTAGGGCCAAAATAGGCTTTGGCCCAGAATTGAGTGTCAGTCAATCAAGAAGACATGCTTCAAAAAAATGGAAAGAGGAAAAAAAATCAGCTATATCATTTGCTAAACCAATATTTCACAACATGAAAAAAAAAGACAAACAAAAGAACAAAAGAAGAAGTATAAGAAGAAAGAAGAAAAAAATTGACTTTAAATTAAGCCCATAATCAACAGAACATAGAAAATTTTGTTTACTAAATGGCGGTGCTACATGTATCAATTAGTATACTAACTAGTGTATCAACACTAGTTATGACATATTATTGATCTCACTCTTAATCACATTACAAATACTAAAAATCTTTTAAATTATGCCACATCATCAGTTGGTATACTAATTAGTGTATATAGCATTGTTCTTTACTAAATCCATCATGAAAAAATAAATGATAGAAGAAAAGTCTGAAATTTCCTTAATCCCCATATATATATTTTTTGGGATTGGACTGTCTCCAGTCTGGTCTAATGAGCTCACTTTTGGGTACCATTTCAATAATTCAAATCGTTCACATTTTAGGGTTCGTTGGGTGCACTATTCCTGTAAAAAATCAAGTTGATTGGATAACGAAAACTATGTGTTCGAATCAATTTTGTATGAAACCATTTTTTTTTCTATCTATTTTTTCATACAAAACTGATCCAAACACATGATTGTCGTTATCCAATCAATTTGGTTTTTTTCAAGGATGATATATTCGACAAATTTTAAAATGTGAACGGTACGAATCATTGAAATGGGACTCAAATTGACCTAACAACACCTCTCTAATCTAATGAAAGATTGGAGAGAAGCCATAGCCTATTTTTTGTTTCTTCCGTTTTTTTTTCCCGGTACATCAAAAATAGAAATACTAGCAAAACAGCAAAAGAAAAGAAAAGAGAGCCAGGAAAAGCAGAGCAGAGCCAATCCTATATTCTTCGGTAGACCGTCCCAATCATATCTGCCACAACTTGGCTCCGAACTCCAGCAGGAGGGTCATTGACTATCACCAAACGCTCCATTTGATCAGCCTCCAAGTTAGCAAGGAAATCATCACATTTGTTATCTTCACGCATGATATGGCGGATGGTGCAATTACACCTACGGATCAAGTGCCAAGAATCCTCCATAATGCTGTGAAAAGGGCAATTATGGAGAGGACCTTCAGGAGGAGAGCTTCAGCCGAAGTAGAATCAGTTTCCACGATAACTTCTTGCATCCCTTTCTCTAGCACAATCGTAAGCCCTCGATAAGTACCCCACATTTCAGCTTTGAGACTTTGACAAGAGTCCAATTTCCCAAAAAAATCCACAAAGCCAAACACCTGTTTCATCTCTGAAAACACCTCCAAACCCACCTTCCCCCGGATCTCCATGAGCACATCCATCAGTATTAAGCTTGATCTTACCTGCAGGAGGGGGAATCTAATTAACCAAAACAAGAGATGGCCTATTAGGATGTAAATTTAATTCAAAAGCTTGTTGAATCTCATTAACATAACTATAGGTAAGATAGACTGTTTTTTGCCAAAAAGGTTCAATATTTTCAAAAAATTTCCTGTTTCTATCCTTCCAGATTTTCCAAACGGCAATCGCAAAGATTAAACTCCAATTAGAAACCATATCAGGTTAAGGACATAAATTCCTTTTAAACCAAGCAAGGAAAGACCCCTGCTGATTAAGAACATAACCATGACTACCAACCAGATTGTCCCAAACATTTTGAGAATGCATACAACTACGAACCAGATGCTCAGCATCTTCCAGATGGTGATTACACCTGGGACAACTAGCATTATCCGATAAGCCTCTCAATAATCTCGCAGCATTAGTAAGTAGTTTATCATGAAATATAAGCCATAAAAAACCTTTAAGCTTTTGGGGAAGCTTAAGTTTCCAAACCCAATCCAGGCACAATGGATTCTCCACCGGAGGAGAAATAATATGGTAAGCTAAGACAGAAGTGAAATTTCCAGTAGGGGACCTGTAGACACCCCATTTTTGACGGCCCTTTAAGACTTTGATGTTCTTGCAGGTACATCTGTAACAACCCCGACCCATGAATAACGCTAATTCACGTTAAGTATGCTAAATAAGTAATTAAGAAGAAATCTTGAATCAATTATATGTGCATTGCATCATTTTGTGTTTATATCTGTTCATGTTCTGATTTCGATTTGTGAATTGAAGGCCCTATCGGCATCCGATTCAAAAATTGACTCGATTTATATGTTAATTAGGATTTATAGGATTTTATGATAGGTTTAATTAAAATTCAATTTAGAACGATTAAATTAGAATAAGTTAATGCCCACTTATTTAACCTTAATTAATTGCACTATTACCCAAGCCAAATTAAGGCATTAGTGGACTTCCATATGCACTCATACATTCCCTCAATTCACTCTTTTGGGGGAGCTACAAATGTGAGGAAGGAAGAGAGACTAAGAGTGAGGGTGAGTTCAACAAGGGAGAATGAGAGATTTACTAGGAATTGTTGGCATTTGAAGAGAATTTGAGAATTCAACTTCAACACTTGGGAATTCAAGTCTCTAGGTAAGGAATCAAACTCTTAATTATGTAATTGAGTTAGACTCTACAAGACTTCAAATGAAATAGATGAATTTATGGGAGAATTGAGCAAGAATTTAAGGAAGCTAAGTCAATCCATGCATGCATGTTGTAACAAGCCCGCGGGAGGGAACCTCGCTACAGTTCGGACTCTCGATTTGTGTCACGGTTCTTAATTTGAACCAAAGAGTCCAAATCTGGCAAATCGTTTTGAGAAACAGATTTTTGAAAAAGTAGTGCCAAACATGGACGAATTCACCATGTTTTTGAGTTGAATATGGCATTTGATCATGTTTTGAGAAGCTCAAGGTCAAGAAAATTCATGCATGTTATGTTCTTGAATCATTTCTAAAGTTTAAAGTTGAAATTGTGTACAATTGACATGCTTTTGGGCCATGATTTCTTGACATGATCCTTTAAACATGTTGTTTTATGAGTTTCTAAGTGTTTTCCAAGATTTTGGCCTAGAAAGGATGAGTTTTGAAGTGTTTGGTTTGAGTTCGAAGCTTGGAAATCAAATCTGCAAATTTCAGATTTTGCATTCACGCTCGAGCGTAGGATTTCACACTCGAGTGAGCACTCTGAGTGCGTGCACTTCCGCTCGAGCGACCTGAAGCCCGCTCGAGCGTGAAATGCATGTATCCAGAAGTTTATATGTTTTGCAACACGCTCGAGCGACATAAGTCATGCTCGAGCGTGAATCAAGCGTCCATCGAGCGTGAAAAGCAAGTAACCAATACTTTTGTCAAAGTTTACAGTCCGCTCGAGTGAAGGAAATCACGCTCGAAAGAACCTTCACATTTTGCATGTCCACCCGAGCGAGGGAAGCCACGCTCGAGCGTGGACCCTATTTTCAGCACGGCTTGAAAAATGTCTTCAAGTGCATTTTTGCATCCTCATTCTATCCTAGGCATTCCTAGGCCATGATTAAGACACCGCAATGGGATTAAAGGCTAGAAACGGACTAAGAACAAATGAAATGAGTTATGTACAATTTGAGTGTGTGTTTCAACGTGTGCATCTGTCATGTTATGTAGGTCACACGCCCCAAGATAAGTGAGTCACCTACTCTACTCGTCTATTTAGAGCCACCGGTTATCTGTGAGTAATAACTCTGTAAAGTTATGTTTAACTTTAATTATTTTCTGATGATAGGAGATGATAATTTTTCTGAAATGCTATGTTTTGTACGAATGAATGATTGTCCCATTTTCTCTGAAACGTAATTGTGGTGTCCTTAACAGAGGCCCTCGCCCAGGGAGCATAATACTGTGGCTTATGGTCATGAGGCCTTAGCCCAGGAGATAATACCGTGGCCTAGGCCCTCGTCCAGGGGAAATAATACCGTGGCACAGGCCGTCGCCTGGGGGAAACAATACCGTGGCCTATGTATGAGATATGTTACCTGGTACTAGAGGTTCCTTTATGGAACTTGACATGCTTGACCAAAGAGACATGATTATGCTAATGGATGTACCACACATGATTTGAATATAGATAAGATTATGATTCTGTTTCTGTTATCTGAATATGATTCTAATTTGCTATAAGATTCGAAATATGTTATGGGCATCATTCATTAAAGTCTTTACCCTATTATTATTCACTAGGCCTTGGCTCATTATTTATATTATGTAACAACCCTCACTTTATCTTAGTCATGTGCACGTGCATTTGCATGAACTTTGTCTTGCTTAAACTTGCATTTTTGCGGACCTTAATTTGTTTTCTCTAAGTGTTACTTGCACGCTTTGTTTCTCACCTGGTGTGTGTGAAGCTGAGGTCATCTTAAGCCTAGGTCACACCTTTGAACCTCTTACACCTAGGACCATCTTGGAACCACTTTAGTTGACCTCCATCTTCACCCTGGCGTCTTGGCCGAT